CTTGATACTAGTTGGTACCAACAAAGAAGCATAGTTGCTAACTCTGACAGCCCCACGAAATAGATTAACACATTTCAGATGAATGTTTCTTCTCACTCCAAATAATGCATTCCAATTCAAGACAGAGGTTAGTACTTATATTTAAACTAAGACGAAATGATAACGCGTTTGCATCTAAAAGTTCACCGCGATGGCGGAAATTACTTGCTCGTCTGACAAATCACTAGGTAGTCTCGGTCTTGTCTCGCTTGAGATCAAGATAAGTCTGCTGGAAAGGCGGTCTACGGTGGCGGAAGCGCACGCACCTGATCGACCTCGTCCCACCACCGGAACTCGGCCTGGACCTTGCTCCTCACCACGTTGTAGAGCAGCGTCGGGTAGAAGAGCGCCCTAGCGGCGGCGCCCACCGCCGCCTCCTTCGCCTTCCTCCGGGCCCGCGCCCCCGCCCCGCGCCGCAGGCCGGCCGATTCCGCCGCGGCCATGGCGAATCGGCGTTCGGCGGCCGTGCGAACGACGGCCGGATTGATTGATTGCCCCTCGAGATCGCGGGGGAGGTCGAAGGTCTTCCGACGAGCTGGCTTTCTCCGGTGTTCGAGGGCTGAACTGCCAGCGTTGGGGTGGATTTTTTTTTGCTTGGTCTTCCTCGATTTGTTTTTTTTCTACTTTTTTTTAGACAAACTTCGAAGCTTTTTATTACGCCGTCGCAATATTTACACGGACGAAAGAGAGTCCACCCGGCTGACCTAGCCAAACATGCCGGCCAGCTTCGATTTATTTTTTTTCTCCTGTGAGAAAAAACTGGGGTTGAACCAAACCTGGCCAAATGGGCCGGTCCTGGCGTGCCGGTCCAATAGCCCTGGGCCACGAGGGTCGTCGGCACGACACGATCCGTTCAGTTTTTTTAAACAGCCCAATAGGCTGACAGAGGCGCAAAACAGCTGGCGATCCCTATTTGACGCTCGTGTGCGTCAGAACGGCGTGGCTTCGCTGAAGCTTCGCCTCGCGACGCCAGCTTTTGGGCCGGCCCATGGTTGTTTCGCAGTTGCTTCGCTGTTTTCTTCTCTTTTCTCTTTCTCTTTCTGTTTCTTTTTTTCTGTTCCTGTTTTTATTTATTTTCTTCTCCTTTTTATTCTTCATTTTTCCATTTTATTATTTATTTTTTCTATATTCTAGAAATTTCATTGAGTGTTACAAAAAATGTTCATCATACATTAAGGAAGTGTTCACGTTTTATTTCTACAAAAGTTCATCATGCATTATAAAATTGTTCATCGTATGTTGGAAATTGTTCAATGAACATATAATCACTGTGTTTTTGAATTTGTTAAGTGTATATTACACAAACGTTCAATGTATATTAAAAAATTGTTCAACTTTATATTACGAAATGTTCAATGAGTTTTATAAATTGTTCAACGCATATATTCATATATTTTTCAAAAAAGTTCATCGTATATCAAAAAATCGTTCATCTTAGAATAATAAAAATGCATCATGTATTATTTTAAATGTTCACCATATTTTAAGAAAAACGTTCAGCGTATGTTAAAAAAATGTTCAGTGCGTATTTTAAAAAAAAGTCAAAGTAGTGTAATTAATACTTAAAACGTCGCGCAACAAATCTATCACTAGAACTCATTAGGTCTAGCGGTTAGTAGCACACTGTCAATAGAGAGAGCTCGGGTATCACCCCCGGTGTCGAGGGTACACGGTGACATGTTCATGTGCAAACAGGCGGCACGGCAGAGGTGATTGCTCAATCAGTGCGGAACAGTGCGGAGTACGCGTGTGGCAATGTCAACTGCCATGGGTGGCAGGATCGACAGTAGAGGAAGGTTGCGAGGGGGAAGAATCTCGAGGACGAAGAAGCACTACGAGTTTTGGAAGAAAAAACGACAACTGATGAATAGGCTGC